AATCACTGCTGGTGGGAATGTAGGCTGGTACAGCCACTATGGGAAAACAAGGAATAATATCCTGTGACTGAGACCTATTTTTCTTAAGCAACATATGGTAAAAGTTTTGTGAGCCTCTTTCCAGAGAAAGTTCCCAAATCTGCAACAAGGGAGAAGAACATGTAATGTCTGCCTATCTGCATAGTTTATAAATCATGCTTGCTTGATTTTTACATTTCCTAATAGAATTGGGGAAATTGGCTCCTCAGTGGCCCAAAGGAGGTAGGAGTTGTTATTGGATATATTCATGGGCCCATAATTTTGACTGAGAAATCATTTGAGTGGTTCAGAATGTCATTTCTGGCAGAAGTGGTGCAAGAAATAGCCTATTTCTTGACACTATGTTTAATAGGAAATGCAGGGAGTGTGAAATCCTTCCATTGATATGTGTACTTTGATTTTCTGCAATTTTCTTCTTATTGTTTTTATTTTATTTATTTATTTTTTTAAATATATTTTATTGATTTTCTACAGAGAGAAAGGGAGAGGGACAGAGAGCTAGAAACATCGATGAGAGAGAAACATCGATCAGCTGCCTCCTGCCCACCCCCCACTGGGGATGTGTCCGCAACCAAGGTACATGCCCTTGACCAGAATCGAACCTGGGACTCTTCAGTCCCTAGGCCGATGCTCTATCCAGTGAGCCAAACCGGCCAGGACCTTATTGTTTTTAAAAGACACAATGGATGATCTTGCCCCAAGAAGAAAGTTATCCTTACTGGTGGAAATCCTTATTAAATCTTTATATTTGTTTTTTATTGTAAAAAGATCCTAGGTTTCTACAGACTTCAGATTATGATGCACAGGTCTTCAACCCTGAGATTACTGCATTTCGGCATTGTGTACAAAGAAACTAATATTTTATGACTTAATGCCATATACAGAATTCTGGTAGTTGAATATCAATAGTATATTCTCATGACAGCAAACCTGACCAAGTTTCAATTAAAACAAATGTATTCACATAACATCAAATAAAACAAGTTTACTTGGTATTTTCATTTGTTTCTTACATATAGGGACTTAAAGTGTACAAATGGCTATTACTTACAATAGACTTAAAAATGTACACACTTTACCAATTTCCATGCAAATCTTTCCAAATATCACACTTCCTTTTGGTCTAAGAATTGCCTGCCTTCCTACTAGCCTATTTTCTGACATATTCATTCTCAAAGGGGCAGTGTTGCTGAGGATAAGCTCTGGAATCAGGCTGCCTGGGTTTCAATCTTTGCTCTGCTGCTTACCTATCAGCTGCGTCCTTCCGCAAGTTACTAAGCCTTTGCTCATCTGTAAAATATTGGTGATTATAATAATACTAGAGGCCCAGTGCATGAAAATTCATGCACTAGAGGGGAGGTTCCTCAGCCTGGCCTGCCCCCTCTCACAGTCCGGGAGCCCTCAGGGGCAGGAGGCAACCTGGTGATCAGGGGAAGGCAACACCCCAGCACACCTCTGCTGCTGCCACTGCCAGCAGCCCAAGCCTCGGCCGGCCCTGGATACCTGAGCCTCAGGCGGCTCTGGGCGGCTGGGCAGTCGCCATCCAAGGTTTGCCTATGCCTCAGGCCGGCCCTGGGTGGCTGGGGGGCCGAGGATACTGGGGGACTCGGGAGGTAGACACACAGCAAGGCCAGGGGCCTGCTGCCCCAGCAGGGCTGAGGGGACTAGGCGCTGCCATCTTGTGGCTGTGGGCGCCATCATATTTGAGGGTGGGACAGTCAATTAGCATATTCCCTCCTTATTGGCTGTGGGTGCTGCCATCTTTGCAACAGCATGAGGGTCAATTAGCATATTCCCTCTTTATTAGATAGGATCTCAGAGCTGTGAGAAAGAGTTAATATAAGGAAAGCCCTTATCATAGTACCTAGCATATTGGGCTCCATAAGTGAAGCCACTACTGTCAACAATGTCTTTATGCTTAAAATCAACTTAACGTGCATTTTTACCACCTTATTTTTGTGCATCAATGATGATGAAAATATATCTCCCTATTTGAGGGATGGGATTACCTTAAAAATAAGCTCTAGCCCTAACCGGTTTGGCTCAGTGGACAGAGCGTCAGCCTGTGGACTGAAGGGTCCCAGGTTCGATTTCGTCCAAGGACATGTACCTTGGTTGTGGGTGCATCCCCAGTAGGGGGTGTGTAGGAGGCAGCTGATTGATGTTTCTTTCTCATCGATGTTTCTAACTCTCTATCCTTCTCCCTTCTTCTCTGTAAAAAATCAATAAAATGTATTTAAAAAAATAAGATCTACTAAAATATGTATGTAACTATTCTATATAATAAAAGAGAAACATGTAAATTTACCGTCCCTCTGCTATGCTCACCAGCCACTCAGGAGTGAGTATGTAAATTAACCTGACAAAGATGGCACGTTAATTTGCATACACAGGCACTGGGCAGAGAGCAGAGCGGGAGAGTTGGAGGCTTGGGGGGAGTGGCTCCCTTGGGCCCTCCTAGAAGCACGGGGACCACCAGGAATTCTGGGAATAGTAGTTCTGATGGCAGCCCCAGAACCGGAAGCAGAAGCCCAGAGTGAGAGGAGCACCAGGAATGCTGGGAATCGTAGTTCTGGTGGCAGATGGATCTCCTAGACACTAGAGCAGTGGTTCTCAACCTGTGGGTCACGACCCCTTTGGCAGTCGAACACAGGGGTCGCCTAAGACCATCCTGCATATCAGATATTTACATTACGATTCATAACAGTAGCAACGTTACAGTTATGAAGTAGCAACGAAAATAATTTTATGGTTGGGTCACAACATGAGGAACTGTATTCAAAGGGCCAGAAGGTTGAGAACCACTGCTCTAGAGCAAAGTGAGCCTGGAGCAAGTTACTGTTGTAGTGGGGAATGGAGGGAAAGCAAAGGTAAGAGACATAAGTAAAATCAGAGTGTCTAGGAAAAATTAAAGGGAAGATAGCCTAAAACTTCCAGGAAATCTCCACCAATGAAGCAAAGAAAAAAAAAAGCCTCTATTATTCTCTGAGTAACAAACCAAACTGGGTTGGGGAGGGTCTCAGACAATTCACTCATATGATTGCAAAGACAGACAGACGCTCCCGGATTGGAGAGGGCTCCCCTGAGGGCTCCCAGATTGGAGAGGGTGCAGGTCAGGCTGAGGGATCTATACAACCCCCAGTGCATGAATGTTGTGCACTGGGCCTCTAGTGTCAAAATAACAAGAAAGTCTTTTTTTTAAAAATTTGATGGACAGTCCTGGTTATTGAATTTTATTCAGCTTTGTTTTCCAGCCTTTCACAGAAATAGATACAAGTTTATCTATTTAGCTCTGTATGTATTATTAAATATAAAGTTAGACCACAATTATGTTTTCAAGTAGATAAATTATAGTGATAACCTGAATTTATTTTTTGTCATAGTGATACAACTTACACCATGAAGTGAAAGGAGAGATTTGGCATGTTGCTCTGTTGTCCACTTTTAGTTGACCTGTAACAGTCTGGAAAGAATCACAAAAATGTAAATGCCCAAACTAAACCCATTAGAATTTCTATGCTTTTCTGTTGCCATGAATTGTTTGTTTGTAATAGACTGCTCTTCAATTGTATATTTGTGTTAAAGATAACTCTTCTTAGAAAATACTTCCAGTTCATATTGGAATGTGACTTGCATTTTAAATTTCCATTAAACTTATAAACCATGAAAATCAGTTCTGCTTCAGCAGTGAAAATTGTAATTCAATGTTTAATTGCCAATTTGTGAAATAAAATAACGCATTTATAAACATTCCACAAATTTTTAATGATTGTTGATTACCCTTCTTGCCACTATGAGGAACGAGATTTTGAATAGATGTAATGTAGAGCTATCTTGTTTATGAAAGTCAATTCATGTAGTCTTTAACAATTGGCTCTTTATTTTTTTTCAATTTATTGCAGTTTGTTTTTGCCATTTTAGACTGAGTCAAACCCTGATGCATGCCACTAGACAGCATTAGATCATGTTAATAAAATGTGTTTACCCCAGCAATAAGCTAATTTGATTTTATTACTGGAATACAGAGTATGAATTTCCAACCATTGTTTAAAATGTAGATGGTTTTCAAATCACCAACTTTATTTTTAAGGTTTTTGGTTTGTTGTTTTAGATCATCATAGTTATAGCAGGATAGAAAGTGTACAGCAATATTAAGCAGAGAGTAAGAAAAAAAAAAACTTTTGCACAGGAGAGAAAGTAATATTTACGGTTCTAGGGGTGTTCTGCCCTCTGGCTGCTCTTGCCATGCTGCAGAACAGATATTCTACCTAGGACTTACCTTTGCGGACCATTTCTGAATTTTTACTGGCATGAAAATGCAACTTAAAATACCAAACGAACTCCACTCTCCTTGGCCAAAATAATGTATTTTATATTTGACCTTTTCGTGAAAACTTCCATACTAAAATTACAATAAAAAGTCATTTAGCTGGAAATGCCCCCAACTAGTTTAAGTAATGCAATAATCATTACAATCATGACTTTTTAATTTGGTTGAACACTGGGAAAATGGGAAAAGTCTAGGATGCCTACACACACACACACACACACACACACACACACACACACACTTAAACCATTTGTCAAAATGGAAGCTTGCTGTTGCCCTTTGCTTTTCTTCAGGTCTCCCTTGTCTACAGTGACCTTTCACTATTTCAGACGCGTGTAAGTGAAATTCACCCTCGGGGCTTTTCTTTCAAGGCTATTTTGGCTGGACTGTCCTCCAGGCTGGGGATGGAGTATGTAGCATGAGCCGCCATGCATTTAAAAGTCTTTTTTTTCAGCAACCACATTTCAGCCCCAGCCTTTCAGGGCCATTAGCAGCTGTTCTCATCTCACAAGCGCAGAAACCAAAGTCTGGGAGGGCGATTTCGCAGGATGCAGGCGCGAGGCTGCGCAGAGCCCAAAGCTGAGCTCCAGGTGCAGTAAGCAGGCCGACGTCACCAGGAGCCGCCCGGGCGCTCCGAGGCGGGCGGGCCGGAAGCGGGAGCCGCGCGGGAGCTGGCGGCTGGGCCCCGCCGGCCGGGCGCCCGCAGGCCCCGCCCTCCGGCTCGGTTGGCGGACCGCGGGCTCTGTCCTCGACTGGGCGGGCGGAGGATGGAAGTGGGCTTGTCGGCCATCTCGCTCTACCTAGCCAGCGCCAGCAGCCCTGTGGCGGCGACGACGATGGAGCGGGAGCCGGGGAGCCGAGCGGAGGCGGGAGAAGCCGTGGCAGCCTCGGGAGCTGCGGCCGCCGCGGCCTTCCGCGACCCGGCGCGGCAGGTAGGCGAGGCGCCGAGGGAGGGGCGGCCGAGGCGATGCCCGGGGAGCGCGGCCTCCTCTCTGCCTCCTCTCTGCCGGGTCCGCGGCTGCCTGGGGCGCGCCCGGCATTGCTCCGAGCAGGCCGCCCTCGGTGTCCCCGCCTCGGCTCAGAAACACTGGCGTGGAGGAGGGACCCCTCTGCTGGCTGCGCCTCAGGCGCGGGGCGGGGGGGGGGGGGCGGCCCCCGTTTCCAGGGGAGATAGTGTTGCCTCGGGTCTGTGAGCGAGAGAATGCGGGCGTGTCCCCAGGCGGCCTGGTGGCAGGAGGCAGGCGGCGCCGCTCGGTCCCGTCTCGGCTTCTCCTTTTGCAGCTCCCGACCTGGCTCTGCCCTTGGCTGAGCTGGTAGCAAATCAGGGCTCCTGTTTGCAGGCGTTTTCATTTAATCCCGATAGCTTCTGCCTGAGGTGGGACTTACCCCGTTCACCAGCGAGGTAACTGAGGCCCAGAGTTGCACTCTCCAATAGAAATACAGTGCTAGCCTCATCGGAGATTCTGCATTTCCTAGGAGCCACATCGAAAAAGTAAAAAGAGCCGCGCCGGTGTGGCTCAGTGGTTGAGCGCTGTGGCCCCAGGAGCCGTGAGGTCCCGGTTGGGTTCCCGGTCATGGGGTTGCGGGCTGGATCCCCAGTAGGGGGCGGGCAGGAGGCAGCCAATTAATGATTCTCTCTCATTGATGTTTCTCTCTCCTCCCTTCTCTAAAGTCAATAAAAACATTTTTTTTAAAAAGCAAAAAGAAATCCGTGAAATCAATATTATATTCTATTTAACCCATTTAAAAAAATTTAACATGTAATTAATATGAATTGAAATTACCTTTAATATTATAGTGTATTTAATTCAGTTTTTAGAACACAGATTTCAACATGTAATTAATGTGAAAGTTATCAATGAGATATTTTACATTCTCTTTTTGGTACCAGTCTTTGAAATCCTGTATGCATTTTATTTTATTTTTTATTTTTATTTTCTTTATTGATTAAGGTATTACATATGTGTCCTTATCCCCCCTTGCCCCCCCCCCCCCCATTGGTTAGGCCTATATGCATGCATACAAGTCCTTTGGTTGGTCTCTCCCCCTTCCCCCCACCCTCCCCTACCTTTCCTCTGAGGTTTGAGCATCTGATTGATGCTTCTCCGTCTCTGGATCTGTTTTTGTTCATCAGTTTATGTTGTTCATTATATTCCACAAATGAGTGAGATCATGTGGTATTTATCCTTCTCTGATTGGCTTATTTCACTTAGCATAATGCTCTCCAGTTCCATCCTTGCTGTTGCAAATGGTAAGAGTTCCTTCCTTTTTAGAGCAGCATAGTATTCCATTGTGTAGATGTACCACAGTTTTCTAATCCATTCATCTACAGATGGGCACTTAGGCTGTTTCCAGATCTTAGCTATGGTGAATTGTGCTGCTATGAACATAGGGGTGCATATATCCTTTCTGATTGGTGTTTCTGGTTTCTTGGGATATATTCCTAGAAGTGGGATCACTGGGTTAAATGGCAGTTCCATTTTTAACTTTTTGAGGAAACTCCATACTGTCTTCCATAGTGGCTGCACCAGACTGCATTCCCACCAGCAGTGCACGAGTGTTCCTTTTTCTCCACATCCTCTCCAGCACTTGTCGTTTGTTCATTTGTTGATGATAGCCATTCTGACAGGTGTGAGATGGTACCTCATTGTCGCTTTGATTTGCATCTCTCAGATGATTAGTGACTTTGAGCATGTTTTCATATTTCTCTTGTCCTTCTCTATGTCCTCCTATATGCATTTTAAACCCTACTGCAATTTGAGTTGAACTAGCCACATTGCACATGAGCGGTAATTAACCACATGTGGCAAATGATTACTGTTTTGGATAGCATAAGTTTAGAGAGTTAGTTAAGGTTTGGAGGTTTAATTTGTTTTGAATTTGGTACTCTAAAATGGTAGTTTAGGATCTTTGGCCAGATAAAACTAATGAAAATATTGCTTTAACTGGAAACCAGCTCAATTGTATACACTTTGGCTATTAAAATTTAGCTTTGCTCCTGTATAGAAAACTTCCCACCCTCATTGAGAATGAAGCTTTTTCAGTAGCTTCATTTTTGAGACTTAACTACTTGAATGTTAGTGAAACATTTGCCCCAAACTACAGACTCTGAGAGAACAGTGTCTGAATGTTAGTATAGCTCTCTTAATGTTAGTTAATGTTAGTTTGCATTAACAAAAACTTTTCTACATACTATTCTTTATATGTAATTTCTTGTTTTTCTTCTACTTAAGGAGGAAGGTAGGCTGGGAGGAATTCAGGGGGTAATGGTAATTGATTAGGAAGCCACTTTTCACTTTATTTGAGACCTGTTTTCGACAGGCACAGTTGAATCGAACTTTTAAGTCCACAGTACTTGATGTGTTTTCCATTTTAATTTTTTCTCCCGTTACTATAATTGTTTTCATTATTACTTAAGCTTTGACACTTAATGGCAAAGTAAACATACCCGTACTGACTAACCAGATAAATGAAGAGAGGCTCTTTGTTGTTGTTTTTTAAGTTATTATCTCAAAGCTGTTCATAATTTTTTTCATTACTTTTATTTATTTTTTAATACATTTTTCATTGATTTCAGAGAGCAAGGGAGAGGGAGAGAGAGAGAGAAATATCAATGATGAGAGAGAATCGTTGATTGGCTGCTTCCTGCACGCCCCCCACTGGGGATGAGCCCTCAACCTGGGCATGTGCCCTTGACTAGAATTAAACCTGGGACCCTTCAGTCCTCAGGCTGACGCTCTATCCACTGAGCCAAACCAGTTAGGGCGAGGCTCTTTGTTTTGGGTTGGTGACATTATGTTTTCATATCCTTGTTTAACAAATAATAAAACAAATACTTAAACAGTAAAAAAGGCCCTAGAGCAGTGGTTCTCAACCTTCCTAATGCCGCGACCCTTTAATACAGTTCCTCATGTTGTGGTGACCCCCCAATTTCATTGTTATAAATTAAACATAATTAAAGCATAGTGATTAATCACAAAAACAATGTGTAATTATGTGTGTGTTTTCCGATGGTCTTAGGCGACCCCTGTGAAAGGGTCATTCGACCCCCAAAGGGGTCGCAACCCACAAGTTGAGAACCGCTGCCCTAGAGCAAAAAGTAAAAAGTCATAGGAATCCCCCCATCACTTGTTCCTCACATTCACATTCTCCTAAAGTCACTAAGTTTCTGGTATATTCTTTCTGGGATTTCCTATGCATATATAATAGTCTTTCTTATTAAACAAACATGGGTTCATACTATACAAATTATTTTTCTAACTTTCTCTTTTTGCTCTCTCATTCACACATTCCTGAAGCAGAAACATCTTTGGGAACTCCACATCTGTGCCTAGGGGTTTGACCACAGCAAGGGAAGAGATCTACGAGGTGGAGATTTGGATGGAAGGAGAGGCTGCCATCCTGCACTCCTTTATTAGTTTGTCAGAACTGAGAAGTCCCAGCTGTAGGGAAGGGAGTAAGAGATAGGAGCTTTGGTTTGTGTTTAGCATTAGGCCTCAAACCAGCAGCTTCTCTGACTAGACTTAGAATTAAAGGAGTTAAAATTTCACTACTACATTTAGCATTATTTAGCAGCTCTGCTACCAAGCACTTACCATGTGCCAGGAGCTGTAGGCTAAAGGATATAGCAATGAAGGATACACTTCCTACTCCTGAATGTTGCTAACCACCTAATTGGGAAGGTACATGTTTTAAAGAAGTTCTGGCTGCCATAGGAGTTTATAAAAAGCCTATTGCCATTAAAAACAGGCACTGAGGAACAAGAAAGCAGAATAACAGACTGGTTGATCATAAAATATAATCAAATGTATAACTTTTTTTATGACATCTCGTAATTTCCTGGTGTTAAAAACTATTTTCAGATATCTGCAGTTTGTTAAAAGAGAATTTGTATAATTGACAGTACCATTTTTATTTGCAGATTACTGTTTTACTGTAAAAATAAAATGTTTGCAAAATTCAGAAAATAACTTATATTTATAATTGTTGGAAATTTTGTACCAAACCACTTTCTGGTTGGTTTTCAAATACCTCCCATAACTGACTCCTCCACCCCAAGAAGAGGTTGGAATCACATGTCTAGATTCACAGATTTTTAAAAAAATATGTTGTTTTTTTTAAAAAAACTGATTTCAGAGAGAAGGAAGAGGGAGAGAGAGATAGAAACTGATGAGAGAGACACATCTATTGGCTGCCTCCTGCACTTAGGCATGTGCCCTGAGGGGAATCCATCTGGCAACCTCCAGGTCATGGGACGATGCTCAACCAACTGAGCCACATTGGCCAAGCTCTTTCACAGATTTTTAAATATGCCAATCTGGTTTCAGAAGAGAGGTTGACAAATTATAAGCTATGGGCCAGATCCTACCAACCACCAGTTCATATAAAATTTTATTGGGACAAAGTTATGCCCAGTCATTATGGATTGTCTGTGGCTGCTTTCGCAGAGGTCAGTAGTTGTGACAGTAGATACTATAGCTGCAAAGCGTAAAATACTTACTTTCTGGCCTTTACAGGAAAAGTTTGCTTACTCATGCTTAAGATGATAAAACTTGGGTTTTACTATAAAAAATTAATATTAAATTTAAAAAATTCCTTAAAAGTTTCATTAGTAAAAATCTTTCTATGAAATATAATTATTAGAGCAAATAAAATGCCTTTTAAAAAATATATATTTTTTAAATTGATTTTAGAGAGAAAGGGAGAGATAGATAGAAATATCAATGATGAGAATCATTGATCTGGTGCCTCCTGCACGCCCCTTACTGGGGATCCAGCCCACAACCCAGGTATGTGCCCTGACCAGGAATTGAACTGTGACTTCCTGGTTCATAGGTCAGCACTCAACCACTGAGCCACGCCAGTATATAAAAATACTTATATAAGTATATAAAAATACTTATATATTATTATTGATCTCAGAGTGGAAGGG